CCCTGCACTGCCGGACGCAACCTGCCTAGGGGAGGGATAGGAGGTGGCCCCCTACACTCTCCAGCACAGGAGGGATAGAGGTGGTCCCTGCACTGCTGGATGCAGCCTGCTTAGGGGAGGGACAGGAGGTGGCCCCTGCACTGCTGGACGCAGCCTGCCTAGGGGAGGGACAGGAGGTGGCCCCCTGCACTGTCCACCACAGGAGGGACAGGAGGTGGTCCCTGCACTGTCCAGCACAGGAGGGATAGAGGTGCACAGGAGGTGGCCCCTGCACTGCCGGACGCAGCCTGCTCGTGTGCCTTGGGGGCCACGGCTTGAGCTGCCCCCTTTCTGGTCTTCTAGCTCTGCACTGCTCTGGGTAGTGGGGAAGGTTTGCGGGCAGGGGCCAGGGGAAAGTCAAGAGAGCGGCCCCACAGCAGCTCCTTCCAGAGGTGTCCCCTGGGCTGGCCGTCCTTGGCTCCGGGAGAACTACTGGCTGCTGCCTGGCCAGCCAGGCTCCCCAGCCGGGCGAGTGTGGGAGGCCTGCTGTAAGAAAACCTGCCCAAGGAGGCTACATAGTTGTATTTTGTGTGATCTTCCTCCTCCCCGGACTCCTCCTCCCCTGAGGTCTGCAGGTCTTGCTGGTGCTCAGTGCACTCGCTGTCCCCCCAGCCCCTGTGGCCTGACTCCAGCTCCCACCTTCTTGCCTCCTCTAAGGTTTGGGGATCAAAGCGACAAAGAATTCGAATCTGGCCCCTGGGAGGCGGGGCAGGCTCCTCCCTGCTCCTTGCTCCCTGTCTCAGGTCCCGGCTCCGCGAGAACTCCCGTTTGGCATGTTCTGGCCTGTCTGCTTCAGCCTATCCTGCGCCGGGCGTCTTCCATCGCGGCTGTCCTCTGACACCCTGTCCACGCAGATCCCTCTGATGTGACTGTGAGCCTCGGGTTCCTTTCTCTTCCTGTCCCCCCAACACCGCAGACCCAGGCGATGCCTGCCGCGGGGAGGCTCCCGCCCTGCCTGCTGGGCTCACGCTCGAGGGGCACCGCCTGCCTCAGTGTAGCTCTCGCCTCTCCCCTCCGGCATCCTCGGCATCCTCGTCGCTGTCACCTGCAGCCCAGTGACCTCTGCTGCCCCCTCTCGCACTCTGACCCCCCCAGCACTGCCTCTGTGCGGGGCGCTTCTCTGGAAGTCCTTCCCCCCACTACTGCCCGCCCCTTCCCGTCCCTCCCACACCCATGGCTGGGCCTCCATGTCTGGTCTCTTTCAGCCCTGCTCCCTGCTCCACGCCTTCTCCTGGGTTTCTACGGGCAGTGCTCCGAGATGGCACCCTGGTCTCCTCTCACTTGACCCCCGATCTCCAGCCCCGTGTTCCTAAAAACCTGCCGGGATTATCCCAGGGCGCTCAGCTCCATGGGACAGTAGAAGAATACCCCCTGCCCACCTGCCTAACACCCATTTCCTGTGTCTGCAACCACTGGGGTCATCTCTGCACTTCCAGAGGCCACCAGCACTCTCAGCTCTGTTGTCCCCTCGCCTGCCTCTCACGCAGTGTCTCATCTCGCCAGCTGTCCCTGGCATGTCCTCGACTCTGTCCAGCCTCTCCCTTCTCTCCCACTGCCTCCATGCTCTGACCTCTGCATGGACGGTTGCAGCAGCCATCAGGGACGTGCATGCCTCCTCCTCGCTCTCGCAGCTGCCGCAGCCCCGGGTAGCTGTGGGTTCGGAGCTGTCACACCTGGTGGCTCCAAACCAGGTCCTGAGCATGCCACGAGTCTCATGCAGTGGCCACTCTCTGCCTTGGGCTCAGGTCCTTTCTCTCAGCCAACTGGGGACTCTCTAAGGGCCAGAACGGCGTCCCGGCCGATGTTGTGTCCTCTGCGCTCCTCATGCAGGGAGCTGCAGGGTTCTGTATTGAATCCCATTGGATGGAAACAACTGGGGAAGCTGGCCAGGAGACCAAATGCCCTCCACAGGGGCCTTCAGTGTCCCTTCTGTTTTGGTGACATTACGAGTGGACACTTTCCTGCGGATGCTCTGGGCATGTCTGTAAGCCCGGCGCCTCTCCCAGGCTGTGGGCCCGTGTGATCGGAGCCTGTTGGCAAAGCCTTGGAGCGTGGTGTGTGTTCCACCGCAGTTCGGCTTCGACCGCGAGCGTCTCTCCTCCATAAAGAGAAGCTGACAGTCTGCCTTGCACACGAAGATGCACCCTAAGGAAAGTGGCCTCGCAACTGGAGAGCTCAGTCCCGGTGGCTCGTTTTGCAGGTGAGGAAAACCACATCCAGAGGAAGTCCCGGGCCAGACATGCGCTGGAGAGCCGGGATGCCCCGCGTGCGGAGGAGGCAGCCGGTGGGTTGTACATCGGCTCCGGCGTGGGCTGGCCGGTGGGCGCCCGCCGGGGCCTGTGGGGGGGGGGGACACCGG